ACTCAAAATTCTTTTCTGAAAAATAGGAGACCATAACATTCTTTGCAGGGATATGTAGGCAGCATTTTAAATTATGAGATATATGCAAAAGGAATAGAATATGGCCTATAGGTGTATTCACTGAAACCCATCACTTTCCCAGTAAAAATCACTACTGATATGTGTCCTATGTCCTTCCATGTCCCATGCCTCCCTGCTCCTCCCTGAGACTCCTTCATGCTCTCACTCGTGTAGGTGACTTGCTTCCAGGACAGTAAGGATCTAGTGCCTGTCCCAGAACTCTGCAGACTGCATATTCAATGAATGCTTGCTGCCTTAACAAGACTAAGAAATCTAAACAGATGTTGCTCCTTCTAAAACACTTTGTGATATTCCAAACATTGTATATTTTTATTTTCCCTTCTATCTACATCAGTTTTAGCCTTGAATTTATCAGCTATGTGACTTTGTACAAATATTTTAATTTCTTAAAGCCTCAGTTTACCCATCCTATAAAATAGGAGCATTAGTGATATCTACGTAACACATTTGTTATGAGAATCAATCAGATTATATATGAAAATCTTTAGCCGAGTACCTGACACATATAAGTACTTAGAAAATTTTAGCTATTACTAAATGATCACCTCGTCACTCAGTTCAGCCACTGTCCTGGCAAAGTTCTTGACTCAGATTTATGTACACCAAGCCCACCCCTAATTTAAGTAACCAGAGACAGTTTTGCACTGAATGCTACAGTGCCATAGTGGAGGCCAAACATTCTGAAGTCACCTGCCGTCTCAGGAACCATGAAAAAAAAGTCATAAATATCCCACTGCTCTCACTGACTACAAAATAAAAGACATTCTGTATTTGCTATATCTTCTTCCTTCATCTCCATTTCCTAGGTCTAGGTCTACATTTTATTGAGATTTCCATTCTCCTAATAAAATAACAGTGTGCTTTTATAATTTTGTCTATGCAAAAAGCCTTAAACCATAGCATTTTATTCCCCAAAGGCATAAAAGTAAACCTTAAGCCATATGGCAATAGAATTAAAGTCAGCACATTGTTGCGTTGTACAATTCACCATCATTATAAATGATTTCTTCGTGATATTATGGTATTAATCTACTCTGGTGTGCAATGATTCATTATAGTTCTAAGTTTCCTCTTGCAGGCCAGGCAGCTGTCTTTCAAATGGAGCTCAGTTAAATTTAGCTGCACAAAGATGTTATGATACCAGCAACATTCCCCAGCCCAACGACTACCTCATGGAAGCTGCCTGTTTGAGACCATCCACAGGGCTTCTGGCCTGTAGCAAAGAATGCTGCAACTCTATATAACCATAAGATACCATCATAATTTATAGAGGTGATCAGTTTCATCTATCATTAAAGACACCTGACCTTGTCATTCACTTTTAAGTCTGGGGTCTGGCTTCCTAATTCATTCATTTGCAATTTTGAGGGCACTGAAAGAGAGTCACAGGAGAAGTTGTGGAATTTCCTTCAACTAATGAGGAGGATGTGAACTTCCCTTCTTTTCAAGGACAGAATTTAGTACTTAACATACATATCAACTTACATTCAGCAACTTCATAGGGAATCTTTATGTATAAATAAAATACATTACATATATAAGCATATGAATATATATTTGTCACCCTGATGTCCTCAATCTTACAGCCTGTCTTAATACTCACATAAAATTATTTGAATAACCATACTACTGAGAAAGAGAAAAGCAGCTCCTGACATCCAGGAACTGTCCTGGCACATACAACTAAACCTAGATGTTCTTCTGTTGAACATAAACAATTTTATGGAACATCAATATCAGACAAGACCACTCTGTGGCCAGGCTGGATCAGGACAAAAATAAGACTACTCCATATGTGTTAACAGAAATAAAACATGAACACTGTTCAACCCACAAAATACCAAACCATCCTCCCACCCCAGGTAATATGGGTACCTGCTGCTTCTTTCCCACTAACACTTTCAGCTGGCTCTAGTCCATCCTCCCCACAGATAAGATGGTTAAGATACCCAGTCGTGGAATTACTCCCACTTCCTGACAGCATCCAATCAGAGCAAAGCCCCACTTCCTTAAAACCACTCCCCAAATCACCAGCACAAGCTTAAATCCTGTAAGTCCTTCCCAGTATCCTTTCACTGAGATGCCCCAGAGTTCAAAAAGTAATAACTTATTCAACTACATATGTGTTCCTGGTGGTCTTTAGCTAGAGGACATTGACACCACCAAATATCAGTACTTATCCTTCCTACCTTTTCAAATGTCATCTTCCCCTGATGTATATGAGGGAAAGGAGTTTATTTAACTTCCATGCTTGAGTCAATCTCACTTCATAGCTGTTCTCTTGATTCTAATCAGCAAACTTAGCTCCACCTTAGGAGTGCTGGGACCACCATCTTTCACCCTCAATGCTTAGGTGAGGCTCAAAATAGAGTATCAATTCACATAGTGGTCAGTTCCTTTCAGGTAAAGGGACTTGAAGCTCTGCCAAAGGTGGAGTAGGCCAAGGGCCAAACCAGAAGCAGCTCAGAGTGTGACTACAGTGACCTCCAGGGATGGAAGCAAGAATCCAACAGCTCCAAAAGTACATAGAAATGCAAGGTGGGACAGTACAGTTCAACAGAATGAATAATAAGACCACAACCACAAATAGGGCAGCTCTAGGTTGTCTGTGTTGACAGAGAAGAAAAGGTGGTTAATGGAAAGTACAGAAGAAAGAACGGCCCCAGGAAAAGAGACCAGCTGGAGAGAAAGGGGTATAAACTGCACAGGTGACATGGTATTTACCCTGTAACCAAAACTTGTGGGCCCTGTGGGAAGTGGATGCAACTTCTTACAGACGTCAGTGCACCTTTCAACTGATCAGCACTCTCCCCTGAGCCAGAAAATCCACCTGAGAATTTGAAAGCTCTGACATTTTTGCAGGGTGAAACCTCATTTCTATGGAAGCCAAAGACAAATTATAATACATTAAGCCCAGAAAGTTTGATGATGATGATGATGATGATGATGATGATGATGATGATGATGATAATTTTAGCCAGAATTTAAGACAGCATCCCATTTTGGCTAGCTATTTTTCAATACCTTTACCCCCAGGACATAAACCTTCTCAAATGGGAGTTTGGGGTGTACATTCATCTTTCTCTGAAGTTAAATTTATTTTCACTGATTTTTAAGCTCAAGATAGCTTGGCTGGTAATGTTTACACTGTGCTGTTTATTTTCAGACGTTGAACTGCAATCGAGGAAAAATATTTTTTTTTCCCTACAGTAGAAAGGGAAATATTACACTTAGATATTTATAAGTTTGACTGGTTATTTTTAAGAGCACAAAGTCAAAAATATTATAATTATTATACGTTGCTGGCAATAATTTTCTGAGTGTTTCTAGTAAAAAGACTGAGAGTAATATTCATTACATAAACTGTACTTCAAACTGAATATGGAATAAAAATGGATTTAAATAACCAGAGTGAACTGCATATAACTGCATATCTAAGTAGTACATGCAAATCAGTTTAACTGTTTTATGTTAGAATTACTATGATGGGAAATCACCATAATAAAAGTACTAGAGCTACTATTTTTTGAGTACCTATTTTATTCCAAGTACTGTGATGAATAATAGTTTGTATGCATTCTCTTATTCTCACAATAACCCCAAGAAGTAGGTATTATTAACTATTTTGTAAATGAGAAAATCAAAGTACAGAAAGATTAAGTAGTCTACCCAAGGTTACACAGTAAGTGGCCAAATAGGATTGAGACCTGTATCACCTGGCATAAGTCTATATGTGTTTCATGTTCTGACATTGTCTCCTCCATCTCAAGCTTTAGAGGGATGACATGCAGGTGCTTATTCTAGGTACAAGGTTCTGCCCAGTCAAATGCCAAAGCAAAGACTCTAGAGAGTTGTGTTCTATCACCAAGTAACCAGACTGTATATTCCTTCATGCAGAAAGCAAGCTAAACTCATCTGGGTTTCAGTGGCTTTCTTTTCAGATAACTGCATCCGTAGCAAGAGCCTTCTATACCCCTGCAATGTCTGGGAAACCTGGTTCAGTTTGTGGGTTCAGATGGCTTTGGATGTTTCCCCCAGCTGAGTGCACACTCCTTAGAGAACACTATGTATAGCACAGACTGGGCCACCCACTGAGGACACTAAATAAGTGCTGACCATCTACTTAGGGTCCCTCCCAGGAAAACACTTCAGAAGGGTTGTGCCCTATAATGACTCACCATTCCCTTTTCCCCCAATCCTTCATTCCTGTAATTTTCTCTTCCTAATCTCCCTTCTAGATTCTTTTAGAACTGAAAGTATCTCTCACTCTGTTCCCTAGAGGCAGTTTCCTGAGTTCAAACGCACATACTCAGTATATCAAGGTGACAGGTCTGAGTTACATTATGCTCTTTCTTCACTAGGAGATAAGCAAGCAGAGAAAAGTTCTCCTGCATCAAATTCTGTATAAACTCTTCAGCAGCAACCTCATAAATACCTTGATAAGGAAGCAAAATGGACACCTAAAATGGGGCAGGAAAATATTATATTGTTCGACCAGAAAGACACTTTGTGTCACAAAGCCTTTTGTTTTAATATTAACCTCCAATTTTAGTAAGGTAGTAAAACTCATGTGTTTCCTTAGATTTGAAACCTACACACATTTTTTAATGGACACTGTCCTTTCTCGAAAGTACCTCTCTCTAGTTTTTTGCCATAATTATGCAATACGCGAACTAATCATGATTTCCTACACTAGAGGTAAGAGTATAAAATTTTTAATGGGGGGAAGAGAGAAACAAAATGGAGAACGATTTTCTAAATTTAACATAAAGGGAACAATAAACAGTCATAAAGGGAATTTTGATTATACAATAACTTTTATTAGCTTGATGTGCTGACTGAGAAAAGAAACAGCATGCATTTTTAAAAAGTGACTTTTAAGGAAGAATAATTTGTTTGCATAAAATATGATTACTTACCCTCATAAATGTTTATTTGAATTTATTGCACTGTAACCAAAGCCAACTGCATCAGCCACAGCGGGGAAACCCAATTCTGAGTTGCAGAACAAAACCAAAGGTGTGACCGCGAGCACATCAGCATCCCATGCTGACTCAGGGAAATTTCTGCAGTTACGATTCTGCTGATTTTCCAGGATAAGAGGCTCCAATGAGGCCAAATCCTTTAAAAACAGAAAAAAAACTAAAACTCAGACTGGGGCCCACCCCTCTCAAAAAGAACAACACCCAGAAGAGACCAGTCAGCACCTTTCTCAGATTTGCCTGAGTCTCCAACTGGCTGTTCACACCAGAATCTGTCAACTGGCAACCTGAGGCCAAATCCAGCTGCAGAGGCCATTTTGATAGTTTTGCATTTAAATGTTTAGAAGAATTTAGGGCCAAGGTTACAGTGAGCTGTGCTCCTCAACTCACCAGTCTCCACCAGAGCTGATCTTCTTGGGTTCTCACCTTCATTCATTTACCTACTCATCCCTCTGGGCCCTGGGACCCCTGGCCAATGCACTTGCCTTTCAAGGACTCATGAAATTCTACTCTCCTGCTATCCCCAAGCTAAAAACTCACAGTCCTTCAAGGACACAGGCTCACATTATCGCTATCCGGAAGGAGAGAGTGTGAAAGGAGAGGGAAGAGAACTCACCCTTGGTAAACGCTTTTTTTTCACTTCAGGGTATCCAAGAAACCACAGCCAGCCAGAGGCAGAGGGAGCCCCAAGACTTATCCTCCCCGTTTCCTAGTGCCCAGCTCTTCCAGAGATCCTAAAGCTACCTCCACTCCAAACCGACTGGATGCTCTATAAGCATTTACTGATGAAGACACAGAGACCACTAAGGAATGTCAAGGAGGACATGCAGAAGTATAGGCTAGGTTTTATGGGTCAGACCAGGGTATCTTGAAATCACGCTACATGCAAAAAGAAAAATTATTTTTATAGTGATAATTCTCCATATTTGAACAACTTATTTATTTGGTATCATCGAGAAAAATCTTTTTTCATTTTGTGATTTTTGTTTTTAAATAAACAGGAAAGTATAATTTCTGATGTTACCTTATTATTTCTGCTATTTAACCTTGTCCTACTAATAACAACATAAAATACAGATAGGAAACAAGATGGAAATAAAAAGGTAGAAATATTGAATCTCCTGATGTGCCCAGCACTGGGCTTGGTGAGTTACATGTGGTATGTTGTAGGATCCTTTTCACTCTTCATTTTTGAAATCAGGAAACAGGAATTAAGTTGGCCAAGGTCACAGATAAAGTAACAAAGTAGCTGGCCCAAATTCCATCTTCTAGAACTATGGCCAATTACCATTTAGACTCACTGCTTCATTTTTTCAGATTATATTGCACGGGTTAGACTTTGATTCTTAAGGATGAAATAAAAACATGACAGATTTACTATCACATTTTCATTTACCTGGGCAATTTCCATTTCCCCTTCACATGCCTAGCTAAGGCCTTAGTGATCCACAGTTCATTGAATAGCTACAATTTAAAATCTGATTCCCAAAGCTGTTTCTTTAGAATGCAGTTGCAGAAGACAGAAGGGTCAGATTTCAGCATTAGTGCCACTGCATTGAGACAATTACTGGAAATGTAGCCTAAAAAAGGATTTTCCTGAACTCTACTGATGACTACTTCAGTTTTCTTATTCCTTTTGGCTGCAGAGGAACCAAGCGTTAGTGAACAATTTCAGCCTCTTTTTGTGGAAAGCTCTCCAAGCAGTGATTTGCTTCTCCATCTAGAGCACTAGCAAATAGCTCAAATGTAAAGGATGATAACTATTTCATGACACCATGTTAATACCGTGTTTACCACAGGAAGTTGGTTTTGTCTTTTTTAAAAAATCATCATGCAAGTATCCTCACAGCAAGAAACCTGAGAAAGAAAGCTGAACACTTCATACAGTGTGTCAAGAGAAGAGTTAATGAAAAAATTACAAATATTTTATTTCCATATTATTTTCCCAAGTCCCCTTGTTGTCTAGACCTTTCCAGCCTTTTAAACCACAGGTAGCTTCTGGCAAAGCTAGAGACAGATGGCAGTGTAGAGTTCCTGGCAACCAAGATAAATGTGCATAATATCAAGCACCCACCTTGCAGCTTCGGAGGCCCACAATGCCCCCAGCTCCTTCCTGCGGCCTCAAGAAGGGTCACTTGCTAAAATAATTTTCTGGTTAACAAGAAATCTATGCAAGATTTCATGTCCTGGTGTTTCAAAAGCCCCCTCTGAGGGATTCACACTATGCATTTTAATTTAGGTTTACACATTTCAGTTTTTAATAGAATGAACTGTGCATAACAACACATTTCACAATATGAAATGAAAAGCCCTTCATACAGTTCATCTACTGGAAGGTTTTAACTCTAAATCCAGAACAAATAAAGGAAAATAAACACAGCAGGACTCCAGCTTTCCCCTTCACATTTGGTC